ATCAATTTAGCCTCAGACGAAGTTACAACAAGGCCATGCATCGATTTTGGGGATGAGATTGTACATGTGGAACTAAGTTCTTGTGATCAGCAGAAGTCTTCAGAAAAAGCGTCAGCTGAAGTTGAGGTGTCAATGTCAGTTAATGACAGAAGCTACTTGACATTCGCTATTGATCAGAAGGTTATTATATATGAAGGTGAGTTACTAATTGTCAAAGTTCATTAATAACTTTTAACCTTAGATTAAGTCACTTTTCGAGCGATCAATATTCTGCTGTAATTGAAACAATTCCGAAATTGATTTTGTTAAAATTAAACGTTGCTTATTTTGATACAAGTACTTGAATCGCCTTTAAAATTGTTTATTTTTGTCAAACTAATTTCTATGTTTATTCCTTGTCATTTAAAATTTGTTTGTCTATTCTTTTTCTAAATTAAATTTTTTTATTACTTTTTATATACACTATGCTAATAAGGGAAGACATTTTACAATGTTGAAATAATCCAAACGGATACGAATAATAACTGTTGGGAGAAGACTTTGAACGAGCAATAAGTTCCCGCCCTTCTAGAGGGCAGCCCCCGGTTGGCGGCGCGACTCGGCGCACTACGCGTGCGTGCGGGCATCAGTGGTGCTCACAAGAGCCTCGATCACCATCGTGTTCAGACGTGTCGGTTACGGTTTAAGTTACAGAGTGTGATATACTTATATATAATAAAGACAGTATTCAGAGTGTACAAAGACCAAGATTGTTGTGTTCCCTGCTCATCTCACCACATTTCAAGTCGTCCCTGATTATATTTCCAATAGGTTATGGGCCCAGGGCACGATTCCCCTGCGTGAGGAACATAGCACGAAAGTGTATATACGAAGTGTGTGAGACGCCGGCGAAGGGCATAGAAAGAGATAGAAGCATTTAGAAGATTAGAGAGTGAGTAAACAATATTCCTCGTTGCTGACGAGCAAAACGAGAGAATTCTCAGTTAATAAGAATGTTCGTTCGATAAATACTGTTACAAGGAGATAGATGTTTTTGCCATTTTTCTCGAGAAATAGAAATAGAGGTAATAATGGTAATAAGAGAATTAGAGAATAGATGTGTAAAGTGTAATAAAGAAGTAGAGAATAATGAAGAAAAAAGAGATAGAAAAATGCCGCTTGGTAGCAAGTCGGCGACGTGCGCGTGCAAGTCCGATCGTGAACGGCGAGAGTCATTTCTTTTAGCGCGCGGAATTTTTGGCGCGCGGAAGTCCGATCGTAGACGGCGAGAGTCATTGTTTTTGGCGCGCAGAACTTGTTGCTGGGCACGCACAAACACATAATCGATTTCGACTAACAACATGGCATCGATGCTAGATGGCTAGATTACGATACATGTAAATGTATGCGTATGTATAAAAACTCTATATGACTCTATATGAGTATATTTTTTTTGAAATCGATATGTATCGGGTCGGTAATTGAGCATGACTTGCTGTGCGGTGTAGCTTGATTACTGTTTAGGGAAGCCGCGTAAATTTGTATGGGCCCCGTGCGTGTGCGTGATCAACCCGAGCTCCCATAGATCTTTTCAGCAGTGCTGGGGATCGCAACGGACAGTGGTGTGCGCGTGCGGATAGTTCTGCAGAGGCGCGTGGTTTTCTCGCTTTGGGGTTATTGTGAATTGCAGTGCGTTCTATATAGCCTCATAAGCATTAAATTTTTATCGCTGAAAGAGATCTAGTGATAGAAATTGTAAATTATTATTTGTCAATACGAATGTTGGTTTATCTTGTCAAAAGAGGAATGCTAATGTTCAGTTGATATTTAAATTCCGATATAGATGGAAGAAGAAAAAAGCCAAGATGCGCTGGTCGACTACGACAGCGATAGCAGCTTTATCACGGTAATAGATAGAGAAGCAAAAGACAAGAAGGAGACTGAAGCAAAGGGTGCAATCCCGAAACGCGGCAAACCAAAAATAATAGAAAACATAGATGTGAATAGAGAATGGGCTGAAAATCGTCCTGTACTACCTATAGGGACAAAGATACTTTACGAGAAACAAGAAAAGATGGTTGAGAAAATGGACAATTCGATGCAGATGCTGGATAAAGTAATGAAAAAGGCCACCGAGATGATGGAGAATATGGTGGAAGTCTCCCGTTTAAACTTAGAGAAAGAAAAAGTTAAACTTAGACGTTTAGAGGTGAGCAATAAAGATACCCAAAGTTCAGTAGAAAACAGTAAACAAACGGTTAAAGAACTAGAGGTAGAGTCTAAAAAGAGAAAATTAAATGAAATAACAGTCTGTTCAGCCGAAAAAGATAGGAGTTTAGAGACAATGAAAAGAGCTATAGAATTGGAATTGAATAGTCAAAGGTTGCATATTAGAAGAGAATATAAGCTGACGCAAAAATCCAACTTTGATCTTTGGATGGATTATTTAAAATCTGAGTTAATGAATAACGAGTTGTTAGACGTAATAGATTCAAACATTAAGTCCAGAAAATCTCTCCGAACTAAAAGTTGCCAAGAGAAAAAGTCTAGTTAGAGATATAATAATCAATCATTTAGATGAAAACTATCATAAAAGGATTCTACATGAAAAAGATCCGAAAGAAATTTTGAAGAAATTGAGAGGATATAAAAAGAGTGAAGTAAACGTTACTCATGCATCGGTACGAGCTAAACTCTATCAAATTAAAATGAGAAAAGACGAAAAAGTAAGTGATTTTTGTGAACGCTTTGATTCAATAATTAGAGAATATGAATCATGTGAAGATGCGGTACCCCTCGCAGAACAAGAGATTAGATCTGCACTTTATCAGGCTGTGTCAATTAATGTACCAGAGCTGAGGAATGTAGATTTAATTAGAAGACAAACTAATCTTAGAGAAATGAACATAGATGAAATAAAGTCTTTTATGATGCAGTTAGAAGCAGAGACTAAAAACGAGAATAGAGAAAAATTAGAGAAACCCGAAGTCAGGGTACAGAGGGCTGCTGCAGAAGAGAACATGAAACAAGTGAAATGCTACAGATGCAACCGAATGGGTCATATGGCAAAGGACTGTCCACTAATAGAATTTGGTGCCTGGTTTTGTTACTACTGCCAGGAAGTACGAGGTCACAAGGGTGATAATTGTCCGAGTGCCGAAGCCCAGGCGAACAGAGCTAGAGGAAAAAGGTATTTAAATAAAACCGTTAATAAAAACAAAGAAAAAGAGTAGATTTGTGCAAAAAGGCACAAAAAGAGTAGATAACAAAGGGAAAATAACCAAGATACAACCAGCTGAGAAACCTATATCAACGAAAACAGCAAATGAAGGAGAATCAGAAGAAGGTAAATAATACATGGTTAAATTAATAGAAGATAGAGATAGTTCAAAAGAGGTAGTCAATTTTACTGCAGATTCGGGTGCTACGGATCATATTGTGAATAAGAATTTTATTCTGTCAAAGTTTGAAAAATGTAAAGATAGAGTTATTAAATGCGCGAATAAAAATGAGCTTGCAAACATTTCAATAGATGGTAAAGGAGATCTTACGCTAATAACGAATGAAAAAGAAAAGAGAGTCATTAAATTAACAAATGTAATTGCAGCAAAGAAAGTATCCAAAAATTTACTATATCTAAGAAAGTTGGCTGATGCAGGATTCAGTATTTATTTAGATAATAAAGTGTTTAAAGTTTACAATAAACTGACAAATAAAATAGTTTTTAAAGGAATTTACAGATGTAGAGCAGAAATTGTTCCACATAGTGAGCTTCCTGAACAATCGCAAGCAAACATTCAGACCAATGAATTATCAATTTCGGAGGGTGTGGTATTATTATTCGTGAACGATAGTTGGCAAAACTAGTTAGTTAGTTATATTTATTTCTCAAGCTTGGTACTATTGTTAATGAGCGACTTGCACGCCTCTCGTGCTAGATTACATAGCGACTTACTCAGAAAGATATCTAAGTTATTATACCGACTACTCACTGGATTTCCTGTTTGTAAAAGCCTTAATAAAGAAGGTTAATTAACACTACAGAGGGAGAGTTAAATGAGAGGGATAATGTTGGCTCTGCGATTGGGAGGGAGAATGAAGGAGAGCTCACAAATGTGAACGAAAATATAGAACACAATAATGCTGAACTCGATCAAGTCATTAAGTTAGAAGATATACAGACAATAGAGAATATAGAAGAAATGTGTGAAAGCTCAGTAATTGAAAAAGTAAAGAAACTAGAGAAAATAAATGAAGTGATGTTATGGCATGTTAGATTAGGTCATGCATCGTTAAACTATCTAAAACAATTACAAAAAGTAGAAAAAAGATTAGAGAATGTAAAGTTTGATAACTTTATATTAGAGTGTGAAGTATGTATAATGGCAAAGATGGCAAAACTGCCGTTTAAAGAAAACAGAAATAGAGCACAGAGACCACTACAGGTAATACATACGGACATCATAGGTCCAATAAAACCTACATCCTATCCAGGACAAAAGAGGTTTATAATCACTTTTATAGATGACTATTCTAGATTAGCAAAAGCCTACTCTCTGAAAACAAAAGATGAATCGGGAGAGGCTCTAGAGAAATATCTTATATCCGCCAGAAATCTACTAGGAAAAGAAGAAAAGCTATGCTATGCAAAGTCAGATCAAGACAAGGAAGTTGCAGAAAGGTTCAACAGAACGTTGAAAAAGAAAGTAAGAACATATATGCTCGACTCGGGATTACTAAAGAGTATGTGGGAGTTGGCAGTTGACGCTGCTGTGCATGCGTACAACAGATCTCCACATAAAACTTTAGAGTATGAGATCCCGTTGAAGAAGTTTTCATCAGAAACAAG